TCTGCTGCCAGTGCTAAGTGTGTGCCCTGGGCCATGTCCTGACAAGCTGTCTGAATTGTGCTGACCGGCATCGCATGTAATCGCCGTCTCACAGGTTCCGTTGGGTTTGATTCCACACACCTGCAGCTCCGGGCAGAGCCCAGTGGGGAGAAGTGTAGCTGTGAGGTTTCCAGGGTCGGACGGTCAGTGTGTTGGAACTGGCGTGTGGGGGGCACAGATGAGGGAAGAATGAGGTGGCGCCAGAGCAAGTTTTGAGGGAGGAATAGGAGTTCTCCGGGTGGAAAGGGCATTCCTGGTGGAGGGAACAGCCTGGCCCAGGGAGACACCTGTAGGGGGTGGGGGTGGAGGCAGCCATGGCTGGAATCCGCCCTGCCCCTGACTGGGGTCCCTGCTGTGGTCAGCCCTGTGCTGGGTGAGGCTGTGGTCACAGCTGGTTCAGGCCCTGCCGGGAGGGGCCCCCAGCTGAGGCCTGGCCTCTAATTTGGTAAGGGATGTGGGTGGGTCTCGGTGGGGGAGCGGTTAGGAAGCCTCCGGGCGGAGGCAGTGCCAGAGCTGAGCCTTAAAGAGCTTCGTGTTGTCCTCTCTGTCCTTGCAGTCCACACACGCTCACTGGACTGACAAGTGAGGACAGCTGGTCAGGGCAGAGGCAGGCCGGACCTGGGGCTCCCTGCTGTCCCCGGCAGGCCGGGGCTGAAGCGCAGGCTCTGGGGTCAGCAGAATGGGGTTTACGTCCTTGATTCTTCACAGGGCAGCTGTGGGACTTTGGGCATGAGGCCTCCCTCCGAGCCTTAGTTTCCTCCAGAGGGCCGTGCCCAGGTGCAGCTGGGGCTCCAGCCCTGGGTGCGTCCCATTCCAGGAAGAGCCGGCACACACTTGCACCCCCAGGGCAGCCGTGAGCGTACAAAGGGCAGTCTGTGCCCCTGCTGCAAACAGGACCAGCTGCGCACAGGAGAACCACTGGCTCCAGTTAGGAGGATCAAGGAGATGCCTGGTGGGAGCAGAACAGCAAGGGGGTGCGGCCCAGCTCCCTGCAGGGATGGTGCGAACCGTCCCCTGCACCTCCATTAGCAGGCACAGAGGTGTGCTCTGGGATCCTGTGAGCCACTGTGCCGGGCCGACCCTCTTCATAGTTGGCAAGGCTTTGTGATCTGCAGGGCAGGGTCAGTTTGCAAATCCCTTTCCCACCCGTTCCCTGGAGAATCAGAGTCCTTGGCTCAGATGACAGACAAACCTGAGTTGGAATCCTAGCTCCTTGGCTGTGCTGGCTCTGCTCGTCCTCACTGTCCAGCTGTTGCACACCTGTGCCCACCGCAGGGCCTTTGCACACGCTGTTCTTTCTGCCCTCCCTTCTGACCCACTCCCTCATTTCATTCAGGCCTCCTTTCAGATGTCACCTCCTAAGATGGGCTGCCCTGACTACCTCATCTACAATGGCCCCAGTGCCTGGCACAGGATTGGCACTCAGTAGATATTGCCAAAGAGATGGATCTGGGTTCTGTGGACGAGGCCATGGGGGCAGGTGGCGAGCTCCCTGTTCCAGTAGGTGTGCAAGCAGAGGTTATCTGGGGTTCAAGGCCTTGTGCACGTTGTAGGCTTCTGTGCTGGTTAGAGCTGGGTCCTGCAAGTGCACGGTATGACACCTGCGGAGGGCTTCCCTCGGGGCTTCACAGAACACATGGACGGGAGTCATTAACGGCTTCGCGCGTCTGCTTTCAGAGAGATGTTTGAAGGTGGAACTGGGGAGGGATGCCAGGTGGGGGTTCAGGTTTCCTGTTGGGTCCTGATAGGATCAGGGCAGAAGAGGAAGAAGAGGGAAGAGGAGGAACCCAGGCTCGGGGGGAGGGGTGTCAGGGCTTCCCAAGGTGGGGAAGGTGAATGAGGGAGCAGTCTGTGCCTCCTCGTCCATCCTGTGTTCAGACCGTGGGAACCAGAAGGGCCTTCTTAGCAGTCGTCGGGAAGCCCAGTGATTGGTTCACCCGCAGGTGGGCTGCAATTTGGGTGCCACGTGAGCCTCTAGTCACTAGCTATCCCAGCTTCCAGGATAGGGACTAGGGGAGGTGAGAGAGGCGCTTCCTTAAATTGTGCATTCAAGGTGCCTCAACTGCCTTACTCTGGTTAGACTGGTTCCGTTAACTCCCCTTAAAAAAAAAAAAAAAAAAAAAAAGAAAACGACTCCATCAAATGGTAGTGGAGCTCCGACTTGAATACTGTAATTATCAGGCAACTCACTACCTGACTTTCTAGTTCTAAACCATTCTAATTGCTGTAGAGGGAACTAACCTTTGTTGAAACTGTTGAGTGGTGCATGTTTTACGCACTTGCTCTCCCAGAACCCCCACTCCTGGAGATCCTAGAGAGTGGGGAGTGGACTGTCCCCGTCACACAGCAAGTGAGGGGCTGAAGGAAGAGCTGGCCCAGGCATGCTGCCCCAGATGGCCTGCTTGGCTGTGGCTCTGGCGAGGCTGAGGGGCTGGCTCTCGAGTTTCCTTTTTCAGTCTTTGATGACCAGCTTCTGTAGAAACTGGCCAGCAGGCTGGTAGCTCACGCCTATAATCCCAGCACTTTGAGAAGCCAAGGCAGGCAGATCACATGAGGTCAGGAGTTCGAGACCAGCCTAGCCAACATGGTGAAAGCCCGTCTCTACTAAAAACACAAAAATTAGCTAAGTGTGCTGGTGCAGGCCTGTAATCTCACCAACTCGGGAGGCTGAGGCAGGAGAATCACTTGAACCTGGGAAGTGGAGGTTGCAGTGAGCTTGTGCCACTGCACTCCAGCCTGGGCAACAGAGTGAGACTCTGTTTCCAAAAAAAAAAAAAAAAAAATTGGCCAGCAGATCCAGCCCCAGGGGAGAGTGAGACAGGTCTGGCCAGGCCTTGAGTTTCAGAGGATGGTCATGGCCACTGGCACCCAGGCTCTTCCTCCAGGCATCTTAACTTAGTCTGTGCCCTCCGCCCTCTGTTCCCAGGTCACACCCCTCCTCCTGGAAGGCCCTGTGCCTGCCGCCACCAGAGTCTTTAATGGCTCTTCTGCTCCTGGGGCTCAAGAGAGTCACTGCCCCTCCCCTCCCGCTTCCTCGTGGGATGGGAGTGGGGGAAGATGGGAGAAATAAAGACACAAAAAGGGCTGGAATCTGTGGTAAAGCCAAGATGGGGAAGGGGAGGGGACAGGCTTGACTGTTCGAGGTGGCCCTGGCCCTGCTGTCTCCAGCAAGTATCTGCTTGTTGGTCCAGCCGCATTCTGGGCTCAGAAACTGGGGAGCAAAGTAATGAAAGACCCAGGCTGGGAGGCCATGGGGAAGTGCTGCCTGGAGTTCAGCTCTCAGCCTGCACCAGGCTGGAGTGCAGTGGCGCGATCTTGGCTCACTGCAACCTCTGCCTCCCAGGCTCAAGCAATTCTGCCTTGGCCTCCTGAGTAGCTGGGACTACAGGCGTGCGCCACCACAGCCAGCTAATTTTTGTATTTTTAGTTGAGATGGGGTTTCACCATGTTGGCCAGGATACGCTGGATCTCTTGACCTTGTGATCTGCCCACCTTGGCCTCCCAAAGTGCTGGGATTACAGGTGTGAGCCACTGCGCCCCCCGGTGAGGCTTATCTGTCTTAAGTCACTCATGTGAGGTCAGAGCCTTTGCCAAGAACAATGCTGTGTTTTGTTTTGGGGGTGAGGGAACACCCATGGGCTAAGTGGGGTTGGGCTGTGCTAGAGAGGCGGTCTGTTGTCCTGGAACCTCCCAAAGCTAGGAAAGAAGTGCCTGGGCTGGACGGTGACAAGGACAGGGTGTGAGGGAGACATGGCTGGGTTTTCTTGTCTCAGGTCCTGAAAAGAGAGCAAGGTTGAGGTCACAGGGACCCCAGCCCCTAACGGACAGCTGAGTCTGCCCAGGGTTCAGCCTCCCTCCCAGGTTGCAGCCGACTGGGGGAGGGACAGATGCCCCGGCCTCCAGGTTGAGTCCAAGGTAGGCTTTGCTGGTGGTCTACTTGGCTACAAAATCAGCTGGCCAGGCTCTGATCTCTCGTGTGTGTGTGTGTGTGTGTGTGTGTGTGTGTGTGTGTGTGTGTGTGTGTGTGTCTGTCTGTTCGTAACTCTTACCTTTGATAAAAGAGGGAAGGCAGGCCCAGGCACCTCTTCAAAAGACCCCCAGAGCCTGTCTGTCCCAAGGCCTGTCCCTTCCTGGCCTCCCAGGGCCCTACAATGAATTAGAGGTTCAGGATTCACTTGGTGACTACTGGCTTGTGAGGCCTTGAGGAGGAGGGGCAAACTTCACCCACCCAGCAGAGGGACATCCGTGCTGGCCGTCAGGAAACCATTATGTCGGGCCTCAGTTTCCCGGAAGTTACCTGTTTTCAGGGGTGGCCTCATCCCAGACCATCAGCCCCGCCGCGGTGGGCGGTGGCCCCTTCCCGGGGCTGCCCTAAGACGGGGAGGTCCCTGCGCCCACCGCAGTTACCGCTCGGCAGCGCTTGGCCTTAATCGCTTCTTAGTGCTGCACCCATATTATCTCCCTTCTACCATTCGACGCCAGGGAGATGAGTGTGCTGTTTTCTGGAGAAGTAAACTGAGGGTTGGAGCAGTTAAGGCTCACGCAAGACGTCAGCGAACCAGTGATTTCGAACACAGAGTTCTGAGGTGTTGGGCCAGGACCTCCCTGCTCTGACCCTTTAACGGAGGGGGCGGGAGCTGAGGGCCAGTGACCGCCGGTAACCCCGGCAGACGCTGGCGCCGAGCGGGTTAAAGGCGGACGCCCGCGAGTAACCCCAACCCCATTCAGCGCCGCGGGGTGAAACCCGAGCCCCCCGCCGCCGCCGTGGGGAGGTGGGGCGGGGGCCGGGCCGGGGCACTAGCGAGGCGGCGGCGCGGCTGCTGATTGGCCGCGCGCGCTCACCCCATGCCCGGCCCGCAGCCCCGAGGGGCGGGACCTGCAGGCGGGGCGGGGCTAGGGGCGGGGCGGGGCGGGCGCGCCCGGGCGCTTAACGGCTTCAAAACTCCGCCGCGCCTTGACAGGTGAAGTCGGCGCGGGGAGGGGTAGGGCCAGACCGCCTGGACGCCCCAAGGGTGGGTGCAGATCGCGGAGCCATGGATTGCACGTTCGAAGGTATTTTTGGAGGTCCCCTCAGCCCTTTATACAATGCTTCCGTCTCCTGCAGGTTCTCCTGGAGTGGGCGGGCGTGGGGGCTGGGGAGCAGGAAAGAGCCCCCTCCTGAGCGAAAAGGTGTGACAGTCGTTTCAGCTCGCTGGGGAAATGGGGGGCTACCCCCAACCAAATTAGTGCCTCCTGCAACTCAAGGGGGAAGGGTTTGCTTAGAGAGCCGAGAGCAGCACCCCAACCTAAGGGGATCTGGAGGCAGAAGGTGGCCTTACCTTCTCTGCACCTGCTCTGGGAGGGGCCAGGATGTTGCAGGCAGGAGGGCCCGCTGTCCCTCTGTCTGCCACAGCATCCAGCCTGTTCAGCACCCCTGCCTTTTATGGGCATCTTAGACTCTTCAGGCAGATGGTGGGAGCCCTAGATTGTCAAAATTGTCAGTTTTTCCTTCAGGCCTCAGTTTCCCCCATCTATCAAAGAGGCTTATGCAGACTGGGATAAAGGGGTGGGAGACCCTGCTGTCGAATGTCCATAATGACTTGATGACTTGTGATCTGGGGTGTTCACAAACCAGGAGAGTTTCTACTGGAGAAGCCAGGGAGGCTGGGCCCACCACCCTATCCTAATTCTGCCAGCTGCTCCAGGAAATTCCCATCCTGCAGTGACTTCCCTGCCTGGGCACCTGTCAGTAGGCAATGTTGGGTCTCCAGTCTGTGCCCACTGCCTGCTAAGCAAAGCCTCAGGCAGCCCTACCAAAAAGTGTTTAATCTTTTCTGTTGTACAGATGAGGAAACTGAGACCAGAAAGCAGAGGCTGTTGGTCCAGGCTCCACTTCAAGCTGGTGCTGGGCAGGGCTGGGAGCTCAGTCTGGGGATCCTGAGAGCACTGGAGGCCCCATGGGTCCTATAGAGCACTCTGACCCAGTGGGTGCCACCATGAGTGGGTTAGAAGGCCCTGGGCTGAGCCAGTCAGGCCGCCAGTCGCCAGCTGGGGGAGAGGGCCCACGGCCAGGCGGGGCTGAGGTGGGAGTGTGTCCCAGTCTGTGTGAGGAGGAAAGAGTCAGGACAGACAGCACTTGCTTTTACAGAGGTGAAATCAAAGTCCTGAGTGGCCAGGCCTGGGTCTTGAGGCTACTTGGCTGCAGGCAAAGCCTGGACTTGAGCCCAGAACTCTACACAGAGACACACTGGTTGGTTATGTGGCCAGCAGCTGGCTGGGCCCTAAGCCTTGGTCTCTTCCACTGAGTAATGGGTTGGTGATGGCAGCCTGGCTCTTGGCTTCTAGGTAGGGCAAGAAAAGGCACAGAGATGATAGATTTGGCATTTTGCAGACCTGGGTTTGAACCCCACTGCATGCCCTTGGGCTGTGTGTGGTCCTCTCTGAACCTCAGTGTCTTTTCTCCGAGATGAGGTGAGCTAATTTTTTTTTGTTTTGTTTTTGAGACGAAGTCTTGCTTTGTCACCCAGGCTGGAGTGCAATGGTGCAATCTCAGCTCACTGCATCCTCTGCCTCTCGAGTTCAAGTGATTCTCCTGCCTCAGCCTCCCAAGTAGCTGGGACTACAGGTGCATGCCACCACGCCCGGCTAATTTTTATATTTTTAGTAGAGACGGGGTTTCACCATGTTGGTCAGAATGGTCTCGATCTCTTGACCTCGTGATCTGCCCACCTGAGCCTCCCAAAGGGCTGGGATTACAGGTGTGAGCCACCGCGCCCGTCTGAACGAATCTTTTGAGGTAGTCTAGGGTAGTGGCCAGTGGTTGGGGCATTGGAGTCAAGTATGGTCTAGACTCAGTTGAGTCTGACTCTATGAACTTAGGACAGTAAGTCACCTCTCTACAGCTCAGTGTCTTCATCTGTAGAATGGGGCCAATGATCACACCACCCTCTCAGAGCTGTGGGTGAGGATTAGGGCTCTAGCCTGGTCCCATCAACGTGGGTAGCCCCACAGCAGGCCCGGCTTTTGGCCCAGACCCACCCTTCTGACATGCGTCCTCACCGCTAGAGTGCTTCCAGCATGGATGAGGACCCTGCTCTGATCTGCAGTTCTCTTGGGGGAACTTCCCTGTCTGCCATTCTCTTGGGGATCCTGTGCTGCCCTAGGAAGAGTGGGCCCAGGCTGCACAGCTGGTCCTTGGGCACAGGCTTCTTCAGGGCCTAAAGCCCATCCTGCCTCTCTCTGCACCCCTCTTACCTCTGTAAACTGAGGGGAGGGGAAAGTCACCCACTCCTCAGCAGTTTCTAAGCTGCTTTGTCAAATTCAGTGTCCTGCTGAGGGGGCCTTGTAGGAGTGGCCAGTGGGTGGGGCATGGGGCATCGCTCCTGTATGGAGACCCTCTCTGTCCTGTTTCCCACCTGCCCTAGACTGCTTCCTCCCTCCCCAGCTGCTGGATCTGTGGATGGAGGCGTGTCCCCATTTCACACATTGAGAAACTGAGGCCCCAAGTGGGGCCAGGGAAGGCTGTACCTGGGCCTCTGGATTCCTTTTGTCCTGGGTGGGGTGGGAGGTGATGGAATGTGGAGAGGGCAGGAGAGCATCTGCAAGGGTTGGTCACCTCATGAGCAAATGCTTGGAGGCTGGTCTGAATCCACAGTGCAGTGTGGACGTGTGTGTGTGTGTGTGTGTGTGTGTGTGTGTGTGTGTGTATGTGTATGTCTTCAGGGGTGGATGTCTTCTAGTAAAGACATCAAGATACGGGACATTCTCACCAGAAAGTTGCCTGGTTCTAGGCAGGGATCTTTCTCATTCACAGCCAGGAACGGGGCCTGGCATGGTGTGGGCGCCCAGCACATGCTCATTGAATAAGTAAATGAGTGAATGAATGAATGTGGTCCTGCTGTTTGCTGTGGACTAAGGATGTTGCCAGATGTTTGGGCAAATACTGGGTGGTGGGAAGAGCTCAGGCCCGAAGTCTGCAGTCTTGGGCCGACCCTGGGCTCAGCCCCAGCCTAGCCGTGGGGCAAGACTGGGAGCCTGTGTTGCTCACCTTGTCCAGGTGTTGCGATGCACTGGCAGCCGCAGGCAGTGCTCCGGACAGCACAGGTGTTTGCAAAGTGGCTGTGTGTCCGGGAACACCAGCTCCCGTGAGTGGCCTTCTGTTCTGGTGGCATTGCCCACACATACAGCTGTGTACAGACAAAGGTTGTGTGAACAGGGTTATATCTGGATGTGTGCGATGCCCTGTTTCGGAATTGGTCTCTGCCTCACTCACACATCCTCTTCTCCTTTTCCCAGACATGCTTCAGCTTATCAACAACCAAGACAGTGACTTCCCTGGCCTGTTTGACCCACCCTATGCTGGGGGTGGGGCAGGGGGTACGGACCCTGCCAGCCCCGATACCAGCTCCCCAGCCAGCTTGTCTCCACCTCCTGCTACACTGAGCTCCTCCCTCGAAGGCTTCCTGAGCGGGCCGGAGGCAGTGCCCTCGCCCCTGTCCCCTTCCCAGCCTGCCCCTGCTCCATTGAAGATGTACCCGCCCGTGCCCACTTTCTCCCCTGGGCCTGGTATCAAGGAAGAGTCAGTGCCACTGAGCATCCTGCAGCCCCCCACCCCGCAGCCCCTGCCCGGGGCCCTCCTGCCGCAGAGCTTCCCAGCCCCGGCCCCTCCGCAGTTCAGCTCCACCCCTGTGTTGGGCTACCCCAGCCCTGCAGGCGGCTTCTCCACAGGTAAGGGGGATGTGTGGCGGAGGGGACACCCAAGGTGGGGCTCCCAGGAGCACAGGAAGAAGCTTCTGTGATGTTGGTAGAGGTCTGTGCAGGCTTTAGAAACGGGCTCCGCTCTGCTGCTTGAGACACCTTGTTACTAGCAGTCCCGGTGTGCTTGTTGCCAGGGTAGGCGCAACCTCAGACTGGAGGCCTGGCTTGAAGCCAGCACATTTGCGTCAGAGCCCAGGCAGGGACTGTCCATAGGAAGCCACCGCACGGGCTAATGACTCACCCCAGGCCAGCCGGTGATAGAGACCTGAGGAGCAGGTTGAAAGTGGGTGAGAGTGGTCTGTGCCTGCAGCCCCAGGCTTTATTTCTACAGGGAGCCCTCCCGGGAGCACCCAGCAGCCGGTGCCTGGCCTGCCACTGGCTTCCCCTCCAGGAGTCCCGCCCGTCTCCTTGCACACCCAGGTCCAGAGTGCAGCCCCCCAGCAGCTACTGACAGTCACAGCTGCCCCCACGGCAGCCCCTGCAACGACCACTGTGACCTCGCAGATCCAGCAGGTTCCGGTGAGGGGGTCTGGCCTGGGGTTAGGGAGGGGACAGCTCCTCGCCGAGACACACAACTTATGGCCGAGCCCTCGCTCTGCTCAGGTCCTGCTGCAGCCCCACTTCATCAAGGCAGACTCACTGCTTCTGACAGCCATGAAGACAGACGGAGCCACTGTGAAGGCGGCGGGTCTTAGCCCCCTGGTCTCCGGTGCCACGGTGCAGACAGGGCCTTTGCCGGTGGGTGGTGTGGGCAGGGCATGAGGGAGTGGGGTCTGCACACACATGTGCCCACCTGGTAACATGTATCTGGCCCTGCAGACTCTGGTGAGTGGCGGAACCATCTTGGCAACAGTGCCGCTGGTTGTAGATGCGGACAAGCTGCCCATCAACCGGCTGGCAGCTGGCAGCAAGGCCCCGGGCTCAGCCCAGAGCCGTGGAGAGAAGCGCACAGCCCACAATGCCATTGAGAAGCGCTACCGCTCCTCCATCAACGACAAAATCATCGAGCTCAAGGACCTGGTGGTGGGCACTGAGGCAAAGGTGTGGAGAGGCCTGCGGGGCACAGACTGGGGTACCCCTTGTAAGGAACAGATCAGGGGCAACTGGAGGGAAGAGGGCGTAAGGCTGAGCCTGGACAGGCAGGGAATTGGGCTTCAGCCTCCGCAGGCCTGGCCAGCCTCGTTTGTTTAGTTAAACTGGATTTTGGGCCTCTCCAATAAAGGTGGGGCTGTGCTGGCATTCGGGACGCACCAATGAACAAGTCAGACAAAAATTGTCCCTCCAAGAGGGGCCGGCGTTCTGGTTGGGGAGATGGACAAGAGGCAGGATGAGTGCTGGAGGTCACCGCCTGGGGCTCATTGCAGAGAAGTCAGGAAGAGGGGTGGTGAGGGCCCTGGTGGTAGCCAGGGAAGGCCTCCCTGGGACGGTGCCGGGCACAGCACCAGCTAGCCAGGCCCCGCCGTCTGCATCTTACATCCTAACCCTGTGCCCTGTCTGGGATGGGGGAGGGGAGGAACATTTCAGGTGGAAGGAATGTGTGCAAAGGTCTGGAGGCAGTAGTGTTGCAAAGCAGCTCCGCACCCCCTTGCTAGGGCCCCCCCAATCCCCCAAGCCCCGACCTGACGGGCCACCTGTGTGCTCTCCCCTCCCTCCACACTGTGCAGCTGAATAAATCTGCTGTCTTGCGCAAGGCCATCGACTACATCCGCTTTCTGCAACAAAGCAACCAGAAACTCAAGCAGGAGAACCTGAGTCTGCGCACCACTGTCCACAAAAGCAGTGAGTCCTGGCTTCACTGAGCTCCAGTCTGGCCACTAGCCCTGCTCCACGGCCCAGTCGGAGTCCCACCCTGCCCTTGACTCTGTCCCTGTCTGGGTTCTGGCCCTGCCTCTGCCCCGCCCACCTCACCCTTGGCTCTAGCCCCGCCTTCGGCTCTAGTCCCATGGTTACCTGTGGTCCTAAAAAGAGCCCTGGCGCCTCCCTTTGGCCCTAACCCGGCCCCATCGAAGCTTCCCGGGCCAGCTTTAGGAGCTACAGCAGCCTCTAGGCCCCCAACCCCAGGGCTCTAAGCTCTGATCTGGGGTCACATTCAGCCTGTGCCCTGGGTCTGTTTCTTTCGGCCCACAGAATCTCTGAAGGATCTGGTGTCAGCCTGTGGCGGTGGAGGGAACACAGAAGTGCTCATGGAAGGTGTGAAGACGGAGGTGGAGGACACACTGACCCCACCCCCCTCAGATGCAGGCTCGCCCTTCCAGAGCAGCCCCTTGTCCCTTGGCAGCGGTGGCGGTGGCAGCGGTGGCAGTGGCAGTGACTCGGAGCCTGACAGCCCCGTCTTCGAAGACAGCCAGGTTGGGCCCTGCCACAGTGCCCCTTTCCCACTCCCAGCCCTATCTCTGAGCCTCAGGATAGGGCCAGACCCTAACAGATCCTACCCCCCATTTCATAGAATAATAGGCCTGGAGCCATGTGGGGTCTCACAGTAAGGTGGGCAGAACCCTGACCCCCTTCTCTGCCCCATGCTCTCTGGAGTCCCTCCAGTTCTGCCTTCACCACCCTGCCCACCCCCAGCAGGCAACGCCGGAGCAGCGGCCGACTGCACACAGCGGGGGCATGCTGGACCGCTCCCGCCTCGCCCTGTGCACGCTCGTCTTCCTCTGCCTGTCGTGCAACCCCTTGGCCTCCTTGCTGGGGGCCCGAGGGCTTCCCAGCCCCTCAGAAACCACCAGCATCTACCACAGCCCTGGGCGCAGCGTGCTGGGCACTGAGAGCCGAGGTGGGACCGGCCAGCCAGGGCGTCTTTGGGAGGGGTGCTCGTGGGGAGTTCCCACCAGGCTTGTGGGCTTGGCCTCTGGATTTCCTGGGAGCTGTGTCCCCAGCTTTCCCTCTGCCCACAGAGGGCCCTGGCTGGGCCCAGTGGCTGCTGCCCCCCGTGGTCTGGCTGCTCAATGGGCTGCTGGTGCTGGTCTCCTTGGTGCTTCTCTTTGTCTACGGAGAGCCAGTCACGCGGCCCCACTCAGGCCCCGCCGTGCACTTCTGGAGACATCGCAAGCAGGCCGACCTGGACCTGGCCCGGGTAAGAGAGTGGCCCCGGCAGAGTGGGCAGGGCCCCAGGCTGGGAAGGTGCCGGGTGTCAGCCTGTTCCCCGCTCCCTGCGCACACCGTGAAGATCCTGGCCTTCCCGGGCCTGGCCGTGCATCTGCAGACCCCCACCGTCCCTCCAGAGCCTGCTGTGTACAGCTTTTCCGAGCTGTAGGGCAGCTGCTCTGACCTCACTTTCTCACCTGGAAAACCCTCATCTGCAGGGGGACTTTGCCCAGGCTGCCCAACAGCTGTGGCTGGCCCTGCGGGCGCTGGGCCGGCCCCTGCCCACCTCCCACCTGGACCTGGCATGCAGCCTCCTCTGGAACCTCATCCGTCACCTGCTGCAGCGCCTCTGGGTGGGCCGCTGGCTGGCAGGCCGGGCGGGGGGCCTGCAGCGGGACTGCGCTCTGCGGGTGGACGCTCGTGCCAGTGCCCGAGACGCCGCCCTGGTCTACCATAAGCTGCACCAGCTGCACACCATGGGTAAGGCCGAGCGCGGGGCGGGCCCTGCGGTGCTCCCTGCTGCCTGGTCTCCACCGCAGCCTAATGGCCTGCCTGCCTTCCAGGGAAGTACACAGGCGGGCACCTCACTGCCACCAACCTGGCGCTGAGTGCCCTGAACCTGGCAGAGTGTGCAGGGGATGCCTTGTCTGTGGCGACGCTGGCCGAGATCTATGTGGCAGCTGCATTGAGAGTGAAGACCAGTCTTCCGCGGGCCTTGCATTTTCTGACAGTGAGTGTTGGCGGGTGGGTGGGGCCTATCCCTGAAGCTCTCTCCAGAGGCTCCTTGGTAAGAGCTGCACTGGATGTGGCAGTGGTTACCAGAGGGGCTCCGGGCCAAGCTGTGGCTCCTGGGGTCTGGCCCCAGCCTGTGTCCACTGTGACAGCCCATTTCCCTCCCCTACAGCGTTTCTTCCTGAGCAGTGCCCGTCAGGTCTGCCTGGCACAGAGTGGCTCAGTGCCTCTTGCCATGCAGTGGCTCTGCCACCCAGTGGGCCATCGTTTCTTCGTGGACGGGGACTGGGCCGTGCTCAGCACCCCACGGGAGAGCCTGTACAGCTTGGCCGGGAACCCAGGTGCTCTCTCACCCCCTCCCTGTCTCCTGTCCTGTCCTGCCCCTCACCTCCTGAATCTCTGGCAGTCTCTGGCCACCCGAGTCCTTGTCACCGCCGTGGGTTGTTGCTGTGGGGGCTGCAGGAAGGGGAAGGCCTAGATGAGTCTTTGTTTCCACTGCGGCTTTCAGAAGCACACACGGGAATTTAAGGGCAGGTGGCTGATTTGGGAAGTGACCCCAGGCAGTGCCACTGTGGAGTGAGGAAGTGCGACAGGGAAGAGCAGAGCCAATAGTGGCACCTTCTCAAGTTGGTTTTCCTTTGGGAGCAGCGCAGGGCAGGTCTCAGTGTTGTTCTGGCCAAGGCTGGTGCTGGGGTATTTATATCCATCCGTTCTCCCGTCCTTGGCAGGGGCTGCACCCAGGGCCGCACTGGCACTTCCCATGGCCCTGGGTGTGGCCCCAGCCCACCCAGGAAAATGCCCTTGGCTTGGAGAGGAGGGTGGGGCCCTGCTCCCCACCCCACTCAGCCCCTCCTCTCCATAGTGGACCCCCTGGCCCAGGTGACTCAGCTATTCCGGGAACATCTCTTGGAGCGAGCACTGAACTGTGTGGCCCAGCCCAACCCCAGTCCTGGGTCAGCTGATGGGGACAAGTAAGTGTCGTTGTGCCCTCCTCCAGGCAAGACCCCTCCAGCAGGAATCTGGGAACGGCTCTGTCCTCAGCCCGTGGAGAGGGCCAGAGCCTGGACTACTGTGCGTGCTGTGCACCCTTCTTCCTCTCTGGGTTTCCTCTCCCTGCCAGCCTGTGGGAGGAGACGGTGGCACTTTGCAGAGCCAGGGGTCAGGCTGGACTCTGGTGGGCAGGTGGGGAGGGCCAGCACCCTCCTAGGACCCCTGCCATCTGTCCGGACAGCCAGCCCTCTCCTGCCACAGGGAATTCTCGGATGCCCTCGGGTACCTGCAGCTGTTGAACAGCTGTTCCGATGCCGCTGGGGTGCCCACCTGCAGCTTCTCCATCAGTTCCAGCATGGCCACCACCACCGGTAAGCACCCGGCCCCTGCCCCGCTCCCTTCTCAGCCCCGGTGCAGCATGGCTGAGGGCTCAGGGGACTCTCTGTCTTCTGCAGGCGTAGACCCGGTGGCCAAATGGTGGGCCTCTCTGACAGCCGTGGTGATCCACTGGCTGCGGCGGGACGAGGAGGCAGCCGAGCAGCTGTGCCCGCTGGTGGAGCACCTGCCCCGGGTGCTGCAGGAGTCTGAGTGAGTGCAGGGCAGAGTCCTCCTGCCTGGCTCCCGGCCCAGCCTTCCCATCCCCGGGGCACTGTGCCTCCACCCTCGCCTTTCTTCTGTGCAGGACGGGTCACCACCTTTTTTCCCGGGAAGCCAGAGCCAGGGCAGTGGGGGGCACTCAGCCAGGGCTAGTGGCCTGGTCTGACTGGCACCCTTCTGCCCTGGTCCCAACAGGAGACCCCTGCCCAGGGCGGCTCTGCACTCATTCAAGGCTGCCCGGGCCCTCCTGGGCTGTGCCAAGGCAGAGTCTGGCCCAGCCAGCCTGACCATCTGTGAGAAGGCCAGTGGGTACCTTCAGGACAGCCTGGCTACCACACCAGCCGGCAGCTCCCTTGACAAGGTGAGGGGTGGGGCCAGGGGCCTGGCAGGGCTGGGGGACTCAGCCTTCCATTCCCTGGTCCTTCTCCCCAGCCCTCAGGGGCCCCGGAAGACCATGGGATTAGCCCTCGAAGTGCAAGATGGGGTTCCAGCAGACCTTGTTTTCTGGCTAAGGCTTCTGTCCAGGGGAGAGGGGTTGCCCCTATCTGGTCTCGGTTTCCCCACCCCTGGGAGGAGGGGGGTGGATGATGTGGCAGGATCCCTTTGGAGGCCCTGCATCAAGAGGCCTGGACAGCTGCTCAGGGCCAGTGGCGGGTGTGGGGGCCGAGAGAGGCGGGCGGCCCCGCGGTGCATTGCTGTTGCATTGCACGTGTGTGAGGCGGGTGCAGTGCCTCGGCAGTGCAGCCCGGAGCCGGCCCCTGGCACCGTGGGCCCCCATCCTGCCCCCCCAGAGCTGGAACCCTGGTGACCCCTGCCCTGCCTGCCACCCTCAGGCCGTGCAGCTGTTCCTGTGTGACCTGCTCCTTGTGGTGCGTACCAGCCTGTGGCACCAGCAGCAGCCCCCAGCCCCGGCCCCAGCAGGCCAGGGTGCCAGCGGCGGGCCCCAGGCTTCCGCGCTTGAGCTCCGTGGCTTCCAACGGGACCTGAGCAGCCTGAGGCGGCTGGCACAGAGCTTCCGGCCCACCATGCGGAGGGTGAGTGCCCACTGGTCCCCTCTCCTCAAGATGGGGAGGAGTCAGGTGGTGGTGGAGAGGGAAGAGCCTGAGTCTGCACTCTGCTGGCACCCCCTCGCCCAGGTGTTCCTACATGAAGCCACGGCCCGGCTGATGGCGGGAGCCAGCCCCGCACGGACACACCAGCTCCTGGACCGCAGTCTGAGGCGGCGGGCAGGCCCCGGTGGCAGAGGAGGTGAGGAGCAGCTGCTGACCAGGGCTGTGCTGTCTGCCCAGCAGGGAAGGGCTCACATGGGGTGTGATACCAAGGGAGACTGCGTGTGTGTCAGATGAGACAGGCCTGGAGTGGTGGCTCACGCCTGTAATGCCGGCACTTTAGGAGGCTGAGGCGGGAGGACGGCTTGAGCCCAGGAGTTGGAGGCGACAGTGAGCCTAGGCGACAGGGAGAGACCTGTCTCAAAAAAAAAAAAAAAAAAAACCAAGCAACTTCTTGGTGGTTACCTGATAGTTCCTTTCATGAGAAATCAGTGGGGCGACTGTCATTTGTGGGATACAGGACTGCACGTGCATGACTCAGTCTGTGGACTTTACATGTGGGGTGAGACTAGGGTGGGGAGAAGGGGACCTGCCAGCCCCCTGTGCCGGGCGGGGGGGGGGCTCCCGCGGGGGCGCGGCCAGCTCGAGCCCCGCCCCTGACACATCCCCGTTTTGCGCAGGCGCGGCGGAGCTGGAGCCACGGCCCACGCGGCGGGAGCACGCGGAGGCTCTGCTGCTGGCCTCCTGCTACCTGCCCCCTGGCTTCCTGTCGGCGCCCGGGCAGCGCATGGGCATGCTGGCTGAGGCGGCGCGAACGCTTGAGAAGCTCGGCGATCGCCGGCTGCTGCACGACTGTCAGCAGATGCTCATGCGCCTGGGTGGTGGGACCACTGTCACTTCCAGCTAGACCCCGCGGTGTCCCCAGCCCCAGCGCCCCTGCCTCCAGCCACCTGGGTTCCGTGTGGCTTCTGTCCTGCGTTGGAGCGCTGAAGGCCGAAGGCAGCGCCAGAGATCCTGGCCTCCACGGTTCACCCGCGGCTGCACTCTTCCTTCCGCGTGGAAGGCCTGAGGGGCGCGACTCCGACTGGAAGAGCGGCGGCCATGACAGTGCTGACCTCTGGTGGCCGATCTGGGCACTGCAGGGGCCGAGCCGTTGGCGGGGGAGGGGCCCTCCTTGCTCTGCAGGCACCTTAGTGGCTTTTTTCCGTCTAGAGGGAAGAGAGGTGTGCACTTCCCTGCGCTGACGGAAGCCAACTTGGCTTTCCCGGACTGCGAGCGGGGCTCCCCCGGACGCCTGTCTGTCCCGCGTGGGAAGGCGTGTACATAGTGTAGCGTGCCTGACCTGAGGCTCCTGTGCTACTTTGCCTTTTGCAAACTTTATTTTCATAGTTTGAGAAGTTTTGTACAGAGAATTAAAAATGAAATTATTTATAATCTGGGATGTGTTTCTTCAGCTGATGGATGTGCTGATCAGTGAGAGTGCTTGGGCCCTCCCCCCAGCACCTAGGCAAAGGTTTCCCATCCCCCGCCGGCCGCTGGGACACGACTTTCCTCTTTCCGATGTTAGTGTGGGGAGGGCTGGCTGTATGGCCTCCGGCTGACCTGTCCCCCTGCTTCCAGGGCACGTGTTTGGGCTGTGTCAACCCTTAGGGCCTCGATGGGCTCAGCTGTGCCCCCGTCAGGTCCCTGGGTGGCGTGGGAGGATGGACTGTCCTCCAGAACCCGTCTGTTGTATGACAGCTCGGGTCTCCCTGTAAGTCTGGCATGGCTCACCTCCCCCTTCCTGGCCCCGGTCACTTCACAGCAGAGAAGCCTCCGACCTCCCTCCCGACCTGCGGCCACACTGGAGAGGGGCCACGGCGGGGGGTGGGGGGGGCGGTTTCCTGTTCTGTGAAGGGCAGACTCCCTGACTCCATTCGTGCCCCCAACCCCTCCCTTCATTCCCATTCCCCAACTAAAGCCTGGCCCGGCTCCCAGCTGAATCTGGTCTGAATCCACGGGCTGCAGATTTTCCAAAACAATCGTTGTATCTTTATTGACTTTTTTTTTTTTTTTCTGAATGCAATGACTGTTTTTTACTCTTAAGGAAAATAAACATCTTTTAGAAACAGCTCGATACACACAATCTTCAGTGTGAAGCAATATACTAATAAGAACACTAGTCGTCTTAACATTTACAGTCTTCATATATATTATATATATGTATATGTATACATATATATACACTATATAACGAGGCCAGATATAATACACACGTTTACCATTTTACAGTCATATGTACAGGAAGTTGCTAGGGCGGCCCTGGGCTGGGGGCTGCGTCAGGTCTATCGAAGCGTGGACAGAGCTGAGGACACGGACGGACAGGCGGACGGACTGGCAGGGACTGGCCCGGGCCGGTGGTGGCTGCGTGGGCAAGGGGCATCGCGGTAGCCCCCTACCCGGCAAAGGCCCGGTTGGGGCTCTGTTGCGGGCGCACGACGCACGGCAGCGACACACGGGAGAAGCGAGCATGTTCCCAACATATATACATTCTATGTAACATATATATAGAGGGGTACACAGGTTTTGTACACGAATCTAGCGCTGTCCCTGCTCCCGTGCCGAGTGGGCGCGGCGGTCCCTGGTGGTGCACAAATGTCGCGCGTCCGCCGGAGGTGCGTTCTGGCCGCTTCTTGCGTTCTGCGCTCCCAGACTGGGCTCCAGAGGTGGGTGGAGGACTGGAAAGAGGACGAACAGAGAGGCCAAAGGGTGTCCCAGTCCCGCCCATATTCGCGGAGCCCACAACCCCTAACTGAGCATAGCCCAGGGCTACCCCGGCTTTGCCCGAACCGCACGAGAGCTGTGCGGGAAGGGGCCCCGGACGCGTTCCGCACGGTTCGTTCCAAAGGCTCCGGCCCCTCCCGCGCCGGTCTAGCCCGCTCCCAGAAAGGCTTTCTTTCTCCCCGCCTCGTCCACGGAGCTAGGAGCCGCCCTCCGCCTCTTCCAGGGCTGTTTCGACCCCCACCCCCAAGCCCAGGGCTCCCAGCTGCACGCCACGACCGACAGGGGTGGCGGCAGCACCCACGTGGAATGTGTGCCACGTCGTCTTGAGATTCCGGAGCGGAAAACCGTCCCCAGGCCAAAGCCGTTTCCCACCCCCGCCAGAGGCTGAGCGTCCCGGGGAGTCTGGCCGCTCGGCGGGCTCCACCTCTGCAAGCCTGGCCCCTGGGGTGGGCAAGAAGGCCCTGCGACGTCCGGTTCCGGGAGCAGGCAGCTCCGGAACGGGTTTTCCTCCCAACCCGGGCCGCAAGTCTGAGCCCTAAGCGGCCGGATCCACGATCCGGGACCCGGATCAAGGATCGGCTCTGGACCCGCGCGGGGAGCAGCTCAAAGGCCCGGGGGCTGCGCAGGCGGCTCCTCTCCGTCGGCGGCGGGCGGGCGGGCAGGCGGGCTCCGGCGGCTCCTCCGGCCGTTGGGGTGGATTACAACGGCAGCCTCTGCAAAAGACGCCCACCCGCCAGTTACCGCCGACCTCACCGTCCACAGGCCCCGACCCCCAGATCCCCGACCCGGGTGACGCGGGAGCGCGGCGGGGGTCTCCGCCCGAGACCGCAGGCCCTACCCCGTCCACCTTCACCTTCGTGCCGCCGTCCCGCGCCCCCGCCTGCCCTACTCTCACCTATCTGGGTGGGCGGCGGGGAGGCCGTCCCAGGGACGCCCCCAGGCCCTGGCTGCCCCTGCCCCGACGCCTGCAGGTCTCCAGCGGCGGCGGCAGCGCGCAAGAGGACCGGGACCGGAGCTGGACTGCGGCGGGGCTCCAAGGGGTGGGCGGGGGAGCTCCCTCCCTCTAGGGCTGGGCCCTGCGGGGCTGTGCGGCCCCGGGGCTCGGGACTGTGAAGGAGGTGCGGGGTGGGGCTCCTCTCCCGCTTGACTCCCATCCCCCTACAGTGCACTGTGGTCCCCTACCTTATGTTTGGGACATTTCAAAGAAAAGTTCTCTTCGATGAATATGCAACCTGTGACCAAAGAGAAGTTTCAGTGGTTAGGACAGGGTGGAGGCTCACAGCTTGAGGTTTTGTCCGCAGCCAGGAGGGGAGCCGCTGCAGGGGCTCTGTCAAAGAGCAAATCGAATCCTGCTGAAAACCCTCCACACTCCACTCCACGGTGCGGGTACGGCCCTGGCCTGGTGGTCTGGACTCACCTCACCTCCTCCGCCTCCCCCCGAGTTCCACGCGCCGCCCCTCCTCACTTGAGGTCGTCCCTCACTCCCTCCCCCAGCCTTACTCTGCCAGCCACACTTGTCACTGCGCCCTAAGAGGCTGGCCTATGTGGTGATCGTGTCCTGGTCCTTGTTTCTTCCCTACCGGCAGGCAAGCTTCCAGAGAGCACGAGCTCTCGTCTTCCCTAGATGTATGCCTGGTCTGGCTCTGCAACACCCTGTGGACAGGCTGGTGGTGGTGTTGCAGGCCTGGATTTGCTCGTCTGCTACTTCTCTCAACCTCAGTCTCCACATCTGTAAAATGGGCATTATGCCACCTACTGTAGGCCTATCGTGGAGATCGATGACGGGAGTGTACAGAAACCACCCTGGTGGGGAGCAGTGGCTCATGCCTGTAATCCCAGCACTATGGGAGGATGAGGTGGGTGAATCACTTGAGCCCAGGAGTTCAAGACCAGCCTGGGCAACATGACAAAACCTCATCTCTACCAAAAATACAAAAACTAGCCAGCATGGTGGTGCATGCCTGTAGTCCCAGCTACCCTGGAGGCTGGGGCAGGAGGATCGCTTGAGCCTGAGAGGCGGAGGTTGCAGTGAACTGTGATTGCAGCACACCAGCCTGGGCAAAAGAGCCAGACTTTGTCTCAAATAAAATAAAATAAAATGTAAAAATAAAATAAATAAATACACCACCCTGTACATGTATGGCACACAGCGGGTGCAGGAGGCAGGGGTAGAGAGGACAGCCAAGCATGGCCAGTGCTCGTGCCCACCTAGGCCTGGGATGTGCTGCTATCTCGGGGAGTCCCTACTCCCCTGCCTGCTGCCACCTAGGGAGAAAGTGGCCTTTTCCCCAGGGACCCCCCCAGTCCCTAGTCCCCTTCTGGGCTCCCCTCCCCCACCAGCCTTGCCAGCCACTGATCTAAACAAACCCCAGACCCAAAACTAGCCGGAGGCTGGCGCTCTCTCCAACATGATCCTCTGTTCACACTGGAGGTGGCTCTGTGCAGTGGCATCATGACAGGCAGTGGCCAGAAGGCAGGGTGGGGACAGCTCTGCAGCCCGGAGGGCAGGGCCAGGCAGCAGCAGGCCTCTCTGAGGCGGTCTCCCCTTGTCTCCAGAAGCTGGGGGTGCCTCAGACCTGGAAACTGCCATTCAGGGCCAGCAGCTGGAGATGCGCCACCAGCTGGTTCCCTTCCCTTGGCTCGGGCAAGCCAGACGCGGTTCTGGGGCTGAACTAGATTTTCCAAAGACACTGGGCTAAAGCCCAAGGCCTGCCCCCTGCACGCCTGAGTAGCTGCAGGCGCTCCTACCAAGGGAAGTTGAGGGTAGGAGGTTGCTACTTCCAAACAGGCTCCCTCAGCACTGCCCAGCACCGCCCCGCATCGGGCATGGGGTGGGAGACACTGGGTAAAGCCAAAAGATCTGGCCCTGGCCCTGGTGCCCGCAGCTGGGGAATGGTTCAGACAGGATACCGGGGTGTAGCAGCCTCTGCCTGCTCTTCAGAGTCACTGCTTGTCTCCAAACTGGGGTTCCTTAACAAGGATTGGATGGGGGGAGGATGAGTGGGCCAGGACAGTGCAGTGTGGGGCAGAGGCTGGCAGCCAATGGGCAGCCCTGGTGCCCTGCAGTCCGAGTGCCTGGTGCAGAGGCCTGCGGCTCCTCCCTGGCCAGACATCGGATCAGCGTGGCCGGGCTGCTCCCTCAGGCCTCACTCCCACCCCGCCTGTCTCCTGCCTCCCAGGTGCCCATTTCCCTGCCTTCACTCTCCCTCGCCTTGTTCTCCCTAGCCTTCTCTGGCAGCTGTTCCTCAGTTTCCTGGGGGTCCATTCCTCCTCCTTAGCTAGCTGTTCCATGGTGGGCACGACCCCCATTGTCTTGCCCCTTCTAGGGCTCTGATGAGCCCTCGCCTGCGGATGGTGGGTGAGACTCGATCCTCAGCCCAGCTGCCTACACTCTGTATGTCCACAGGTGCTTCTGCAGTGTGGCCAAAGGGAACCGCCGTGTGTGTAGATGGCCTGGCAGAGCAGCCCCATCCCCTCCCTGCACCCGGGTCCGCTGCGGTCACCCCATGGAGAGGTGGGCTGCACTCCTCTGTGCTGGACTTGGGACTTGCTTTGATTAACAGGACGTGGTGAAGCCCAGGATCTAGGCTGTGAGAGGCCCTGTGATGTCCCCACTCTCAGAGCCCTGCTGCCACGCCGCCATGAGGACGCACCCAGGCCAGCCTGCTGGAGGATGACACAGCCTGCGTGCAGCAAAGACAAGCTGGCCCAGCTGGGGCCACCCTAGGTCATCCTGCTCCCAGCAGAGCCTGCAGCCAACTCATGCCTTTTTGAGGAAGAATGAAGGGCTGGTGCTGAAGCCACGAAGCTGGGCCTGGAAGGGCCAACAGCGCTGCGGCATGAGCTGGCCCTATCTGCATGTGTGCACCCTACTTCTCCCCCTTCGTGCGGAAGCTGGGCGTCAGGCTTGACACCTCCCTCTCCCTCATCCCTTATGTCAAGTCCCGTGGATTCTGTGCCAGCTCCGTCTCTGAGCTGTATGTCTCCATCTGCACCAGGCAACCCTTCCTGCTTAGACCACTGCAGTAGTCCCTTAGCTCAAATCACGTCGGTGTCTCGTCTTCCCAGTCCCTTTCCTGCCTCAATCCTCACGGAGCAACAGAGTCCCTGTTATACGAGGAATGCTAGGATTTTATCTGAAACAAAAGTTCTCTCGCTCAAAGCCTAGTATACAAGTTCCACCACTAAACAGTTGCTGCCCACCTCCCTGGATCTTTTGAGGCCTGGCTTAAATGTCACCTCCTCCTGGAAGCCTTCCTAGATTACTTCCTGGTTCAGACAGGATGAACCTCTTCCACAGTGACTACTCTCTCCTTCCTGTCTGGTTTTCCTAACTTTGGCCAAGAACTATGGTTTTGCTGTCTGTCCCACTCATGGGTGAGCCCCTTGGGAGTCTGGGCAGTCCTGGCGTAGGAGGAAGAACATAGGACATGGAGCAAGAAAGCCAGGGCATTAAGTCCTGGGACTGTCCGTGCCATGCTGTGTGCCATGGGTGAGGCAGCCAGTCTGTGAAGATGGCCGGAAACAACATGGGCTTGTCGCAGGGTTGGGAGTGATTGGCAGTCCGTTCATCACTGTGGAAGGAGGAATGTGGCTCGTGGCAGCTATTATGTGGAGTGCGGCCACACGCCTGGGTAAGTGGCAGGGTCCATGTTAAACTCCGGCTCACACTGCTTAGAGTGGGAGGACAGGGCCAGTGAGAATCCTCCACATCCCGCCCCAGTGAGCCCCTCCCTGCTGGGTGCTGGCAGCTCAGTCCCCTCCCAGAAAGTATCAGGATCCAGAGTCTTCTGTGTCCTCCCTGGGGCAGGCTGGCTGGGCTGACACTGGCCAGGGACCCAGCAGGCAGGTGGGCCACAGGCTGTAGTCCCCTCTGCCCGGGGCAATGGCAGCAGGGCATCAGGTTATGAGGAGTGGCAGTAGAGGGCGCTGCTGGGAGAGTGACGGGAGCCTGGGGGGCCTGGGCTCTGTCCGCTGGGAGGTGGGTTATGACTTCACCTCTTTCCAGGCCAGAGCTGGGAGGGATTGAGGGTGAGGGGGACAGGTCTTAGAGGCTGGACCCAAAATAGGACTGAGGCGGTACTGCGTTGGTAGTGTTCATTATTCCACTCTCCTCCCGGCAGCTCCGGAGAGAAGATGCTATTAATCACCTCCATTGTACAGGTGGGGAAGCTGCGTGCAGACATATTGACCAGCTTGCCCAAGACCACACGTTAGAAACACCCCTGGGAGCCAGCGTGGCCGCGCACACCTGTGGTCTCAGCTGCTCGGGAGGCTGAGGTGGGAGGACGACTGAGCCCGGGAGGTTGAGGCTGCAGCGCGCCGTGATTGCCTCCCTGCACTCTAGCTTGGGCGACAGAGCAAGATCCTGTCTCAAACAAAAACGAAAACCCCCACCAGCACTAGGGTTTGAATCCAGGCCACAGTTGGTCCCAAATCTCCCAAAATACTGTTGTAATCAATAACTAATATTGCACGATAAGCAACTGCTTTCTTTGGATGAAATAAGGAATAGCTCTGAGCCTCAGTTTCCCCACCTATTCGATAAAGGCAAGGGCTCCCAGGTATCTCCGGCCCATGCAGTCTGTCGTTGTGTGTGTCCAGTGACAGCAGGGGCTCAGTAAATGCTTGTGGAACGTTTATTCCATGAGTTAGAGGAGGGACTGGGAGAGGATGAGGGGAGCCTGGGGCTGCCTCCAGACCCCATTACCCTAATTCAAAGCTTCCACAACTGCTCCTTGTGGCCAACAGGAAACCACGGGTCTCAGTCTCTGTTTTGAACCTCATCATCCCCAACTCATTTGGTTTTTGCTGTTGTAGTGGTGCCTTTCTCTTTGTCTCTGCTCAGTGAACTCCTATTCATCCTTCGAAGGCCCAACCCCAATACCCCTTTGTGAAGCCTGAGCTCCTCCTCGCCCGTTAGCAATTGACAGCTCTGCAGACAGCATTCCACACTGTAATTTATGCCTCTATCTTCCCTCCCTGCTCTGGGCATTCCTCAAGCAGGTGCCTGGGGAATGCCTCATTTCCACATCCCTGGCATTGCCCAGCAGAGGTCCTCAGGCAGAGAGAAAGGCAAAACAAAGAATTACCAGGGGCCGGGCACGGTGGCTCACACCTATAATCCCAGCACTTTGGGAGGCCAGGGTGGGCAGATCACCTGAAGTCAGCACTTGGGGACCAGCCTGACCAACAAGGAGAAACCCCACCTTTACTAAGAATGCAGAATTAGCCAGGCATGGTGGCACATGCCTGTAGTCCCAGCTACTTGGGAGGCTGAGGCAAGAGAATCACTTGAACCCGGGAGGCGGAGGTTGCGGTGAGCCAAATCATGCCATTGCACTCCAGCCCGGGCAACAAGAGTGAAACTCCATCTCAAAAAAAAAACAAAAAAAACAAAAAAAAAACAAAAAAAAAAAGTAGCTGGGGCAGGAGAGGAAGGAAACTGAAGACGGGGCCTGGGTTTGGGGAGCTGTGCCCAGGGTCCCCCGAACGGCTTGGACGGGCTCGTACCTGCATCGCTGGCACACGGGTAGTGATAGCTGTGGATGCATCCTTTGTGGCAGCACCCAATGGTGGCCCCGGCTTCTTGGCAGCTGGAACACATCTGATGAAAGAAAGGAAAGGCAGGTGAGTCTTCAGCTGGAGCCCAGCCCTCAAGGTTTCCAGGCTGGCGGGCCAGCTGCGGTGGCTCAAGCCTGTAATCCCAGCACTGTGGAAGGACTAGGTGGGAGGATCCCTTAAGTCCAGGAGTTTGATACCAGCCTGGGCAACATGGTGAAACTCTGCCTCTGCAAAAACAATACAAAAAGTAGCCAGGGGTGGTGGAGTGCGCCTGTAGTCTCTGCTACTCAAGAGGCTGAGGTGGGAGGCTCGCTGGAGCCTGGGAGGTTGAGGCTGCGGTGAGCTGAGATCGTGCCACTGCCTGCCCTCCAGCCTGGGCAACACAGTGAGACCCTGTTTCCAAAAAAAAAAAAAAAAAAAAAAGCCTTACAGGCTGGTTCCCTGTGGTCCCCGCCTCCTTTCTCCAAAATGGTGCAAGAAATCTGCCGGAAGGAGGCTCAGCACTGGGGCGCTCATGCCCACAAGTGTGGGGCTTTGGCACCCCCTGGACTGGTACACTGGGTAGGGAGACCCCCTCGGGGCAGCGATGCCAGTTACCACCATGGCTGTGGCTCCTGGCCGGGGTCTGTGGCATGCGTCCTGTGCGCAGGGGCTGCTGTGTCCTTATCCACTGGCTCCAACAGCCCTCCGTGGGTCACTTTCATTAACCTCACTTTATAGATGGTGAAACTGAGGCTCCCATTCCAGGCAAGAGTGAAGGCATTGGCATGGTTTTCTGCCCTCTCTGGCAGCAAGAGCACGGACGCTGGGCTGGGGCTGTTCTAGGATGAGCCCTGAGCTCTCCGGGAACCAGCTCTCAGCCTGAGATGCTGATTTCATGTAACTCTGATGCCCTCGTCCTCCAAGTCTCAAAGCTGTCCTCTGTGAAGCTTGGGGCTGCCCCACACCTGGCCCAGCTACTTAGAGTGGGACATGGCCAGGTGAGGACAGCCAGGCCAAGAAGGCCCTTGGAAGAGTGGAGTCAACCTGAGGCTGCGGAGGGAGACACCACCCAGGTGCCAGCGCCACCGTGCCACCGTGCTGGCAGGGGTAAGGAAAAGAAGGCAGCAGAGAGGGTGGTGGCCAGTGCCCAGGTGCAAAGCCAGTGAAACAAATGACAGTAGCTTCTTGTGTGCCAGTCATGCCCTCATGCCAACCTTATGATGCCATTATTGCTGTTTTGTCCAGGTTACCAATGAAAGCTGAGGCTGAGTAACCTGCCCAAGGGCTCCAGGCTGGAGCAGGGGCCCACAGGACCCCACATGCTGGTGGGGGGATGCTCCCTCCCCTCCCCAGCAGCTGAGAAATGTCTGAGAACACTGCCCTCCCCGCTGCCCTGCCCAAGCTGGGAGTGGGCAGGTGGGGGCTGTGGCCTGGGGTTTGTTCTACAATTTTGGGTTTTCAGCTCAGGGCTGAGGGCTCCTTCCCGCCTGGTCTGGGATGGCCTTCTGGGGATCTGGGGTCCAGCGTCCCCAATTCCTGACCCAAAAGGGCTAATGATACACAGGAGGCCGCTGTCCACGCGTGGCGTCGGTGTCTGGGTGGTGAAGGCTTCGCTCCACTTGCCTGCAAGTCAGCCCTACTCTCAGGGAGGCATCTGAATGGCATTTTAGATGTGAAGAAACTGAGATCAGAGTGAGGCCTCAGGCCCTTCTGACCCCAACTACCCCGAGGGGAGGGCAGGGGTGGTGGCCCGTGAACCCTGCCACAGGTGGGGCCTCTACAGACCCCGCCCAGCCCCCAACAATGCCCAGAGCCTGCTATGGGTCCCTCTCACCCCAAGCACTCCGGGCCAGGCCCCATCTGGATAGGAGGTAGGGGTCTATGATGGCTTTGGGGGAGGGGCAGGCTTTGGGCAGCCAGGGACACCAAGGTGCCAGGAGGTTAGCATGGCAGGGCTCAGAGACAGCAGGCGGGGCCCGTTCCCAGAAAGGGCCATCAAGGGAAGAGGGTATCCTGAGGACTGGCTCAGAGGTTCTGCCCTCCTGAAAGCCAAAGTGAGGCCACGGTGCTGAGGGCCGTGGCAGGGCTGTGGCCGGGGATGCAGCTGCACCCCAAGCCCCTTCCACGTGCCAGGCAGATCCGCAGAACCCCACAATCCTGCTAACAGGGTTGACATTGTGGGATTCTCAGAGGACGCCTGACTTGCCTGGAGTTATAGAACCAGCCCTGGGTGGAGCTGGGATTTGAATCAGGGTCTGACTCCAAGGATCGTGGTGCCCCCAAGCCACTGAGGCAGGAAGGGGTATGAACCGAAAGTGACCCTGGGAAGCCCCAGACCTGCCCATTCCCCCAGATGTCCCACGTCTCCGGCAGGGCGTTCCTGGTTCTGACCTTCCTGGGGCAGCCCCAGTCGTGCCGGCTGTCAAGCCGTTTCTGGAGCATGGCACAGCGGACAGGCATGGCCCAGGCAGGCGAGTTCCAGCCTCCGTGTGGCGCAGGGAAGCCGGTGCCGCTCCGACACTCACTGTGTCAGTCCAGCAGAGCGCTGTGTGTGCATGACCGGTAAGACACCTACGGCCCAGGGACAGGCAGGGATGGGCTGGGGTGCTCGGTGCTCAGGGCTGACCCCTCCTCCCTTCGGCCGGCCAGTGCTGGCTGCAGGGGACGCAGAGACGACCGGATCCCAGCCTGGTGGGACGTGAGTGTCGGGTGCACGGAGGCAGCCCCCAGAGAGGCTGAACGGCCAGGAGGCAATAGGGACAGGCTTTCAGGGAAGGGGCTGTGAAGAGGGGCGATGCCGGCAGCTGGGGCTGGGGATCTGAGGGTTTATGATGATGGGAGAGACTTGAACCTGTTTCAAGGTGCTGGGAAGGAGCCAGTAATGGGAGAAAGAGACAGAGAAAGCAGGAGAGAGGCAAAAAATCACCAACTGGGAAGAGACCCAGAGCCACCATCTGCTGGGCAAGCAAGGCCTGCTGCATCACGAAGCTGCGGTGTCCCGTCCGGGCCAGCCTTCCTCTGAGGCAGAGGCTGAAGTGAGGTGGGCAGGGCGTCTGGGCGTGGAGATGCAGCCATCCCCATGGGCAGTGGGAAGCAGGTGCCCAACACACACGAGGTGTGAGTGGAATCCACAGTGGGCACCCACCAGGACCTTGGTAAGGCCAGATGATGTCACAGCAACTGTCAGGGGCAGAGGCTGCTCAGAGGGACTGCAGGGGCACTGCAAGAAGCAGGTGGGCCGCGCTGCACCAGGGGAGGAGGCCATGTGGGGGGGGGGGGGCTGAAGTCACTGGGGCCACTCTGCTGGGTCATTCAATTGCTCAGAGGCAGGCAGCGTTCGTGCAAGGCCTCTGGAGACCCCTGCCAAGTCCCTCTGGCTTCCCTGTGACCTCAACCGCACGCAGCAGGCTGAAGGAAGGAGTGGAGGGGATGGGACTCAGGGCAGGGGCCACTGAGAGAGCAGTTGTTCCCACTGAGAGCCACCACCCAGCACTGGGAGCCGGGAGCGTCACTCCATGGAGGTCTGGATGCGGCAGTGGAGTGGGGGCTGAATGTGGGGGGCAGGAGCACGACTCTGGGGGAGTAGACCCCACTGTTACTTCCCTCAGAAGGGCAGAGGGACCTTATGGTGCTGGGGAAGTGGTGGCACCACCAGGCACGTCACACTGGGGTCACCAGAGCCACCAGGCCCCTCTGTACCGACTATCACAGGGCAGCCTCGCTCTGGAGGTTGGGGACTGCCCCCATGTAACCCTCCCGACCCCTCCTCCATGGGCACCCTCAGACCCACATTGGGGGCGAGGGGACAGAGGCACAGGGAGGGCAGGTCACAGCCGCAAAGGTGCATGGCTGCGTGGCCCGAGTTCCCTCTCACGTTGGTGCTCAGTGACTCCGGCTTCCAAAGCTGGTCTCGGAGCCAGGGGCAAGAGGGTCCGGGTCTGCCCCACCCTGCCTGTGTGACTGTGTGACCCCGTGGACTGTCCTGCAGAGGGAGGGACCCTGTGACTGGTCCATGTGTCAAGCCTGTGTCGTTGGAGGGAGTCTTCCCCTAAGCCCTCAGCTCCATTCCAGAGGCACAGGAGACAGAAACGGAGGGTGGGCAGCTTGCTCTTGCGCCACCCAGGACGGCCCCGACGTTCAATCCTGGGAGGCCGCGTGTCCTCTGGGCCTTGGCAACTCCAGGGACAGCATGGGGAGGGGCCCCGTGGGCTCTGGGTGGGGCTGGAGCCTGAAGATGCCAGGTGAGTGGGAGAAAGCTGGCATAGGGGCCCCCAGCAGGAAGTCTCCTGGGACAGGGTGGGTGAGTCCGACCTGCCTCGGCCGGACGGTGCCTCCACTTCCCCCACACAGCCCGGAGGACCCTGCAGATCATCCCGAGACTGCAGACGCATTAGGCCCATGCTGTAGCACTAGAGAGACAAGAGGCTCCCTGCCTGCCTGCATGCCTGTCCTTTGGAACCCCACGCTCCCCACCCTGGCTGGGCTGGCCTCTTACCATGTCCACGGCCACCTTCATGGCCTCCTGCAGCCCAAAGAGCTTCCCGGCCACCAGGTAGACGCCACCGGTCCACACGGCGCAGGCCTCGTGCACCCAGTGCTCCTGGGCCTCCCCGCCGGGCTCTCCCGGGGCCTCCTTGCTGCACTCGTGTCTTCGGCCCTTGTCGGCTGGGGCTGCCTCCTCGCCCCCGTCCTCCCGGCCATCGCAGCAGTAGCAGCTCTGCAGCCTCCGGGACAGGCCCCGGGCACTGGTGCGCAGTGGGCCCTGCTTGGCCAGGTCGGCTGGGCCATCAGGCCTGGGGGGCTTTCCGGCGGCGGCGGCAGCTGCGCACTCGGGGCCTTTGAGTGTTCTCTCGAGTGGCAGCGAGGCTTCCTCGCAGGTGCTTTCCGGCCGCACCTTCTCCTTGAGTTTTGGCTTCTTTTTGGGGAGGCAGTGTTCGGGGTAGTAGGGCCCACAGAGGTCCCCGAGGTCCTTGAAGTTGGCCGGGTTTTGGCAGAGGCAGCAAACAAGGCAAGAGGTACTCAGGGCCTTGGAAACCACAGGCCCCAGGTGCATGGTGGAGGAGAGGGGCAGGGAGGGCCGCGGCTGCAGGATGGAGCCTCCAGGGAGCGTGGCCAGGGAGGCCCCGGCTGCATCCAAGGAGAACGAGGATGAGGATGAGGAAGAGGAGGCAGAGGAGGAAGGCTTCCTGTGGGGCTTGGGCGCATCTCCAGGGGAGTTGACAACAGTGCATATGGTGGTGAACGCATCTCGCTTCTCCACGCGCACGAAGGGTGAGAAGGCGGGGATCCGACTGTCTGACCTCAGCCGCTTGCACGACGAAATGTACTTGAGGCGGATTTCAGGCTCTGCGGGATCCAGGGGCAGCACCTGCTGCTGCCGCCGCCGCTTGGCTCGCCCCTTGCAGGGTGAAGAGGTGGTGTTCTTGGCCCGGCCCCGAGTGAGGCGCTTCCGCTTGGAATAGCTGCTGTAGTTGGCATGGCCTGGCTGTTTCTGTGCCCTTGTCTGGGGCTGGCAGGGCCTGCCCTCGGGGGGCTGGGAGGCCAGGCCCAGCTCCTCCATCTTTGGCTTCTTGCCTCCTCCGCCAGGGCTGTCCTCGCCGGCCCCTTGGGTGCCACCGGCCCTGTCTCGGGGAGTCAGGAGCAGAGCCGGGCCAAGATAGGGCCGCTTTTCCAGGGGGCCTTTGGAGAGCCCGAGGGCTCCCGCCCGGCCTTTCCGACTTCGCTTCTTAGGTGCCAGGGCGGTCCCCCCAGGCTGCAGGACCTCCGGGGACGTGAAGGCCTCGGTTTTGAAACAGTCAGTCGAAGACAGTTTCTTACTGTTCATGAGTTTGCCTTTTAAGGATCTGTTGGTCAGATTTCTGCATAACGGATCGGCAACAGAAGCCGCTGGGAGCTTCTGCCCGGTGCCCATACTGATCAGGCCTTCCTCGGCCCCCACCGGGCTGCCCCCAGCACCCTTGAGCCCACGGTCCTTCTCAGGAAGGGATGGGCTCAGAGGATTACCGGGAGCGGGCCCCGGCGCTTTGCACGCAAACTTCTTGAGGCTGGGCGAGGTGATCTTCTGCACGATGGCTTCCAGCTTCAGGCCCCGGCCCTTCCGGGGCGGCAGCACCTTGGTCTTCATGGCCCCCTGGAAGGCCGCCCGAGAGGCGAGCTTGAGGCAGGCGTCGGGGGCCTCGGGGGGTGGGGGCTTTGTGGCGGGCTCGCCATTGCCCTTGGTGGGCTTGGCCTTCTTGGGAGAAGACATCCTCTTGAAGAGAGTGGGGGTGCCCTCGGGCCCCTCCTCCTTCCCATCTCCCCCGTTGCCGCTGGCATTGCTGCTGCTGCGGCTCCGCAAGACCAGGTTCCGCTTCTTGGTGGGGACCGGCGCCATGAAGGCCGACTTCCTTTTGAGCGCATGAAGGGGCCGGTCAGAGAGCTTGCTGCCTGCACCAGGCTTGGGGACCCTGGCCCGCTGGCTCACCCTGCCCTCCTTCTGGGGGCTGCCGGAGACCTTGAACGCGGCAGGCAGGTGGCTGTTGTCTAGGAGCTTCTTGGTGGCCCGGCAGTTGGGGAGCCTGCCCTCGGAGGGCCTCCGTCGCTTGGAGTGGAAGATCTCCTGGGTTTTGGTGCGTGACCGAAGGATCATGGAGCGCTGGTCCTTGCCAGGTGTGCCGGGTGAGTCCGTCTCCTTGGTCTTGGAGCCCATGGGACTGCTGTCGGAGGCCACAGGCAGGGCGGCCGGGTTGCTGGGGCTGGAGGCAGCCTTGGGTGAGGGCTTCCCCACCCGCTTGCCCGACTTGAAGGCGGCTCGCTGCTTGCCCGCCAGTTTGTCTGGGGGTGCAGGGGTGGTGGTCAGGCCTGGGGGCCCGGGCGTGCGGGGCTCACTCAGGGCCGTGAGAGAACGAGTGCACATCCTGGGGAGCCCCTCCGAGGCCCCCCGGCCTGGGGCTCCAGCCCCTTCCATCTGTCCCGGCGGGGGCCCCGTGCAGGATTCAGGGAGCAAGAGGTCTTTGGGCAGCGCAGGTGCCCTGCACGGGGAGTCCTCCGCCTCGGGCAGCCCCCGGTGTACCCGCCGGCTCCGTAAGCTTTTGCCCCGTGGCACAGGCTCTTTCTTCGCGATGGGCGCCTCAGGCACAGCAGGCTTGTTGGGCTTCTGGCCCAGAGAGGTGTCCGAGGTGGCAGAATCCCCCGGAGCTCGCTCCCCATCGGGCCCCTCTTCACCAGGCTTCATGTGGGACAGCGAAGACTCAAACCAGCTCTGGACCTTTGACTCGGTGCCCACGGTGGGACCCAGCAGGATGACAGACTCCCCTGAGAGGTGGCACGGGGAGCCCCAGCCGGCCTTGGAGTCCAGCACCTCCTCCACCTCCTCCTTGGTGCAGATGAGCGGGGCCTTGGGTGACAGCGGGTCCTGCATGCCAGGCCTCTGCTCGGGGCTGCCCAGGAGCTCACACAGGGAGGAGTACTCCTCCTCAGCCTCCAGGTCCTCCTTCCTGCTGGTGGGCGGCAGCAGCGGGAGGTCCCCGAAGTCGGCGGTGGAACAGCAGTGCCGGCTGTCCTCCAGCCACCGATCAGCCTTGCCCACATCGGGGCACTGCAGCAGCCCGCCTGCCTCCTCCTTCACCCCACCCGCCTCCTCCTGCTTGAAGTCCCCAGGCAACGAGACCACCTTCTCCCCCGGGGGCTCCTCCTCCTGGAAGCCCAGGCAGGCCGCAGCCTCATGGGCGTCCCCTTTGCTGACGCTGTCCGAGGCCTTCCCACCCTGCTCCAGGCCCTTGGTGAGGTCGCCGGGGTGCAATCCCCACCTGGGACAAGCATCCCCCAGGTTTTCCTCTGGCCAGGCAAAGGGGTTAGCACTGTCTGCCGAGCTGACAGCAGTCGTGTCTGGGAAACAGTCAAAAGCTGCTGTGGTAGGGTCTGGAGCCGCCACCCCAAGGGTGGGCTTCGTGCCAAAGGAGAGAGGACCAGTTGTCTTTTTGGGGTCAGGGGTAGCGAAGGCCACGGAAGGGTCTTCGAACAGCCCTGGGCTGAAGTCCTTGGTGGTGCCACCCTTGTCCAGCTGCAAGGGGTCGGGCAGGGCCTCCGGCTCCCCAGGCCGGGGCCACACACCCTTGGCCACAGAGTCCAGGCAGGCGCTGTGGTTCTCCAGCGAGAAGGGTGGCTTGCTGCTGTCCTTGGCCAGGCTGGACGCTTCGGCCCAAGCTTTGTCGGCCTTCTCGCCGATGGCTTCCTGCAGCCCCAGGATCTCGGAGGCCAGGTCCTCCTGTGCCAGGGCGCTCAGCAGCAGCCGAGGACAGTCCCGCTCGCCCGCCACGAACTTGGAGAAGCTGTCGAGCGGCAGACTGCCATGCAGGCTCTGCAGGGAGTCGTCAGATTTGGTGGACATGTCGTCAGGAGAGGTCACAGAACAGGTGGACACGGACTCGGGCTTGGCCTTCGAGTTGCTGTTGACCCTGGCAGGGCTGCCACGGGCCTGGCTGCAGTAGAGGAAGCTGCGCTCCAGCGGGTCCTCGGAGCCGCTCAGGTAGTCGGCCTCCTGCGGCTCGGCGTGCGTGGACTGCGGCGTGCTGCCCAGCGGCTCCGACAGCGGGGTGCCCGCGGGCTCGGCCGAGTAGCCGCTGCCTTCGGGGCTGCAGTGCTGGCTTTTGTGCTGCTCCGGGGTCCTGGACACGAGGTTCTTGACGCCTTTCTTTTGCGGCACGGCAGCCTTGGACAGCAGCAGCTGCTGGACGGTGCTGGAAATGTTCTCCACCTGTGAGGTCAGCGCCGTGAGGCTCTGCAGGCTGAGGTCCGACAGCAGGCTCTCGGGGAGCTTGTCCTTCTGCAGCGGCTTGCCGTTGCCGGCCTGGGTGTCCACGGAGCTGGTGGCATCCGTCGGGGAGGGGTTGAGCAGGGGCATGAAGTGGCTGTGGTCTGTGATCCCCGCGGGAAAGGCCCCTGTGCTCAGCGGCTGCTGGCTGTAGGGGAAGTTCTCCAGGTTTGGCATCAGCGGCGACGGAGTGGAGCTGTAGGAGGGGGAGCGGCCCACGGAGCGGGCGGGCGAGTGGCTGGAGCTGGGGCTGAAGGTCTGGTAGTACTGCTCCGGGGTCCGGACCGCGGCGTCCGGCTGGCAGTAGCCCTGGCCTTGCTGCCCGTAGTGCTGATACTTGGCGAGGTTTTGGTAATGGAGGGTTTCCTGGGCATGGTGCCGGCTCTGAAGAGCTTGCTGCTGCTGCTGCTGCTGGTGGTCATAGCTGAGGCGGCCTGACTGGTAGGCGTGAAGACTCTGGACCCGCTGCCCCGGGGCCAGGCTGGAGCTGGTGGTCAGCGGCCTGTCGTGGGGCTGGGCAGTCGGCGCCGTGCAGCTCTTATAGGAGTGGGCCCCCTGCCCGCCGCCCTGGACGGAGGAGGAGTAGGTGGAGGAGGTGGGGAAGGACTGGGAATGCTGGGGAAAGTGGGTGCCCTGGGGGAAGGGCAGAGGGGAGGCAATGTCGTTCTGCAGCTTCTGCCTTTGCAGCTTGGGGTATGCCAGGGGCTGCTGGGGCAGCGGTGGCTGCTGGACGTGCAGGGAGTGAGTCCGAAAGGGCACCTGGGCGCCCTGCTCTGCATACTGCCTGCTGGGGGCCACTGCTGTCTTTTTCATTAAGTTCTCATCATACTTGCCCACCCCCGCTGGCAGGGGCTGAGGCTGTGGGGGTGGTGGCTGCGGGGCCCCCCAAGCCTGCAGGCTCTCCTCACCAGCATAGCGGCCTGGGTAGGGGCTGCTGTCCTGGGCGCCGTAGCCGGGGAAAGCTGGCCTCCCCTGCAGGGCCTGCTGCGTGGGCAGGGCCTTGCTGCCTCGGTGGTACTTGTCAGCAGCCACCGTGGCCGCTGTGCCAGAGGGCGTGCCGGTGCCACCCTCGTAGCTCGGGTAAGGCTGCGGGTTATAATAGTCCTTGGCGAGCAGCCGCTGCCGGTCACAGCTTAGCCCGGCCTGACTCGGCTGCCTGTAATTCTCCAGGCGTGATGTTTCCTGCGAGGTCTGCTGGTAGTTCTGTTGTTTGCCATGGAAACCACACCTTTCTCGAAAAGACTGCATGACTCGGGCTGGTTATCTGTGAAAAGAAAAAGGGAGGGAGGGAGGGAGGGAGGGAGGACAGGCAGGGAGGGGGCAGAGGGATGAGTGATTCAGATGGACCACTTCCTTTTGCCTTAGAAAGCACCCTCCCACCCACCTCCCCACCCTGCCTGCTCCCCCGCATAGCTCTTAATATTCCCCCCTTCGCCTGAGCGTCCCCACCAGCTGTGCACATATTGACAACTTCTGTGTCAGGGAGGTGTGCTGTGTAATTCCCGCTCCCACACTGCCTGCAGCTGAGCCTTGCCAAGGATGGCCACCGACGCAGGAGGCAAAACCGGCTGCCCAGCGCCAGGTCACTGGGGAGCTACCCTACCCCCCGCCCCCTCCGCCAGCTCCTTCCCACTGCCCCCCACCCACCACGCCCAGCCCTTCCTGACAGCTCAAAAGCATTTAGCAGAGCAATTCCCGCTCCCCTGTCCCCCAGGGACTGCTGGATCCTGTAATCTAGTCCCTGCTCGGCCATGTTCAAGCGTGACCCAGCCATGCTGGGGACCGAGGAGGGTTTGCCCCTGCCCCAGGGAGGCCGCCTGAGCGCACGCACAGACATATGTATGCTCATACACACGCACACACGCATGCACACACACCTCCTCGATCACTGCCACGCCATCTGGAATCTGTCTGTTCCTTCCAGCAGACGTCGATTAGGGGCTGCCAAGCCACCATAGACATAAAACGTCCCCTCCTCTGACTCTCAGGAACGAAAGACAGCAGCACCTGCCTCCCGTTTTTGATATCATAGGTGCATAAACAGATTACGTGGCCCAGAGTGAGGGAGTGCATACTAATGGGGCTAGAGATGCAGTCCCACGGCCACGGAAGGGCACAGCTCACCACCCCCGACCCCCCGTACTGGGGGACGAAGCCCTGTGGCTCCTGGCCAGCCCCTCCCCAACTCTGCAGGAGAGGGCTGGGGCAGGCAACACCCACGAGCCCATCTGGTTATGATTTTAGGGCCCGGGGCCCAGGTGGGGGTCTAACCTGCCCCTGCCCCCAAAGCAGAATCCTGGGTCAGGAAAGGAGCCGGGGTGGGTTGGGGGAGCCTTTCCAAGCAGAGCATCTGCCGGCCCGGCGTCCAGCTTCCCCCAGCTGACTCGCTGGCCTGGCCACCCCAGAAGACCCCTAAAAGAGGGATGGAAGAAAGAAGGAAAATGGCCCAGGTTTTGGAGGAAGTGCACGGAGGGTCTCGCCATCCGCCGAGTCCCAGAAGGCTTGGGATTTACCCAGAACCACGCTGGCCCGGAGGCAGGAAGAAGGGGGCCCAGCTTGGCCTGTGTGGCCCAGGCCCCCAGGGGGACAGGGGACTTTCTAGTGCTGGTTCCCAAATGCTCCAAAAAGGAAGGGGTGGCCTGCCTCCGGCTACAAACACTCCAGGTTGTTGAAGGGGTCAGGAAGGGGCACAGAGAAGGAGAGGCATGCAGAGTCAGGGAGGGAAACAGGAAAGAGTGAGGGAGAGCTGTGGGCGGCTGCTACGTTCACCCCTCTTCCTTCGCCCAGACCCCACCACAGGTGCCTTCCTCATTCAGTGTCTAGGGATGGATGCAGGGAGGGGACAGAGGGCCTCCATGTGCCTGAGAGCAGGGCAAGCCCAGGGCAGCCAGACGGCCCCCAGGAGCCAGCCCATCAGCCCAGTGCTGGGACCACCTCTCGTGCCCTGCAGAGTTAGCCTGCCCTGGCCGGGGAATGCAGGACACCCAGCCCAGTGGGGGGCCGGCCACTTTCCTGAGAGGCAAGCCCCTGCCCACTGGCTCATCAAAGCCGCTTCCCTCTGCTCCCCCTCCTCTCCCTGGATTTGTCACAGGCATCCCTAACAAGCCTCACGCCCGCTCTTCTGACCCACTTCAATCCTACCCCTGGCGGCTCAGATAAAACATTACAGGAGGTTCCTGCTGCGACGTGCCAGCCCAGAGGAGCTGGGAACGGCGCTTGGTTCAGGTCTGGCAGCTCCCTGCCAGGTGGGCAGCCTCTCGCTCCTGCCCTGGCCAGATCGCCACAGGGCAGCCCAGGCGATCCTGTGCCCAGGCCGACGGCACGGCGCCCGCTCCCTGCCCTCCCCAGGCGCATGTTTATGAGCCCAGAATGTGCAAACCCAGGACCACTCTGAAGCCTGCGCCTCGTATATCTGCACAAATTACATTTCGGCTTTTATTAGTCCCAGATCACTCTCATTTCCTGCTGAGTGTCCTGTGGATATCATTAACATTTCTACGGCTTTATTTTTTATTTTTTTTCACATTCTCCAAAATGCATTACCAGAAACATTATTTAAAGAGAGACAGACAGAGACAGAGATGGGGGCTCTCACCAGTGTCCCCTCCCTGCCTGTCCGTCTGCATCCCTCCCTCCCTGTTTAATCGTCCAGCTGCTGCGTCTTTTAATTTAGCCGAGCTGTATTACAGGCAGGTTTCCCAATACACACGAGCAGCTGGATGCGGTGAAAGCATCTATCGCTAAGGAGACAGTTCAATTAAAACACGAGCCCAGTACTGATGGAGAATGCAGGCAAAAATGCTCACCCCAACACCACCCCAAAACCCAAGGCAAAGGGAGGGATGGGAACAAAGGCACAGGCTGCCTCTCAGTGCCAGCCAGGTCCCACCGCCAGCTCTGCTGGGAGACAATGGGGCACTGCCTCTTTAAGGGCTGCCTCAGGCCTGCTGTGGGCTCTGTTGTTATTAATTGTTGTGATTATGATTACTTTTCATGAGCACTAGGACAGCACTAGGGAGAGGCAGGCAGTAGGGCTGGGCTGGGCTGGGTGGGCCTCAGAAGAGGAGTGGGCAGAAAGAGGCTCCCTGGCAGAGTGATGGTGATCTTTGAACCTGGAGGCGGGGAGGAAGTGGCCTACTGGGCACACTGTGGGTTTGGCTGTGGCTTGGGCTGGAGGGAGAAGGGGTGGTGGGTGGGGACTGGCGACAGCACCCCCCTTCCCCCTGGGCTCGCTCCTCCTCGTGGTCCAGCTCAACCACACTGCGCAGAGAGTCCTCACTCACTCCCACCCATCCCTTTCTGGCCCACCTGCCTCTCCTCCCAGACACCCGGTCCAGGCCTTATCTCCAAAGTTCTTGCTGAAACTAGAAGGCAGGAGGGACGGCGTCTGGTGCATCCTCTAAGCACCAGATACAGGAAGACTTCACCCTCAGAATCAGCTCCTGGAACTTAGCCTTCTAGCGCTGGACAGTGGAGGCAGGCCAGGCACAGCGGGAGCAGGAGCTGGGGCCACACAGCACTCAGAGCACCAGGATTTCCTCAACACAGCAACAGGAGTCCCCACTCCAAGCCGTGAAACAGTGGGGGCACAGCCCTTCTTTTAGGCAAAGACTCCGGCCCTTCCCGTCCAGAAATCTACAGGGCTACAGGGGCAGGAGCAAGGTGTTTGCAGACACCTACTCTGTGGGGCTTCTCCAGCAATGCTTTGATTAATCTTCTCCTCCCCCTTTACAGAAAAAAGTGAGCTTCGGAATGCGTGCCCTGCCTAGGACCCCAGCGAAGAGCCCACCCACAGTGATGCTCCATGGCAGGATGCCCTCAACAGCAGCGGCAGTGACTGGACCCCTGGTGGACACCCCTGTCCTGAGCCCTGCCGAGAGGTCCCACTTTGGAGGATGCTCTCTTGGAGCAGGTGCAAGCCACAGCTGCTGTGGGGCAAGGGGCTGAGCTGCAGCCCGCGACGCCGAGCCCCAGGCTGGGGGCCTCGCTTGTATTTTTATTCTGTCCTCATCTTTAAGTAGCCAGACCCACCTCGGGTGGGTCCACTAATGGGCAATGATGGTCACCAGCTGCCCGCTGTCACCAAGGCAACTACTGTCCCCTGGGCAGCTCAGGGAGTGGTCATTAGGCCTAAAGCCTCCTCAGACCCCAGGCTTGAGCCCCCAGTCAGGGAAATGGGCACAGTGTGGGGCAGAGCTGCTGTGGCTTCTAGGGAGCCCTGCTGAGAGGCAGTGGCTGGGACTTTTTCCTGAGAGAGGGAGGCGGGGAGGGAGGGAGAAACGGGGCTAGGGGCTTCCTGATCCCCAGCAGTAGCTCCGAGGCCTGGTTCTATCCCACCTACTTACCCAAGGTGGCTTTATGATCTGGTTTCCTGATTTGCAGCTGCAAGAAAAAATGGAAAAACCCAACCCATTCTAGGCCTGGGAATCTCAGGAGGAGCGTACCAGGGCTCAGGAAGCTGAGGAAAGTCCAGGGAGGCATGGGGAAGGTGGAACCCCTCGGGCCTCCCCACCTGTTGAGGGTGATGAATACTCGATACAGGAGACTTGGTGAAAATGAGGAATGGTTGGCCGAAGTCACTGCTGTCCTGTGGGCACAATTCCATATCCCCGGGGCCTGGTGTGAACGGGGGGAAGGGGGCGAGTTTCCAAGGAGCCCACAAGACAAGAAGGTCGTGTGCTCGCAGGCCTCTGGGACAGGTTAGGGTCCGTGGGCTGGGAGGCGTGCTTGGGGCAGATGGAGGACCCTCCTAGGACATCAGGAACCCCAGAAGACCAGGCAGCCCCTCCAAAGCATGGCCTCTCTACAGCACCCTCTGTGGGCAATGCTTGGATATTCGTCCCGCCCCTCCTCATTCACGGCCTTCATATCATGAAGGAATCTCATGGGGTGACCAACACGCCCTCTATGTAGAGTCTGGGAGTCCCAAATACCGGGAAGCCAGTGATGGGGTGAGAAGCAGGAGGGCAGCCCCAGCCAGCCCTATTTGGAAGTTGGGGGAGCCCTGGTGTGGCTGGGGACTCTGGGCTCTTCGGGGTGCACCAAGTGGAGGCGTCTGGGCTCTCCAGGTGTTGGAGAAGCCTCCCCTCACAGCCCCCAGTGCCATCTCCTCCACAGACCTAGTTGTGGGGACAGCTGACACCTGCTGAGCTACCTGAATGGAACCCACCTGCTGGCCCAGCCCCACCTGCTGTTCCTGGGCACGGCCAGGCCCCCTGCCTAGTGCCCAGGTCTCCTAACGCTGAACCTGTGCCCTCCACTCCCACATCACCGACCCTTGGTGCCTGTTCCTGGGATGCAGCCATCAAGGGGCCTGGAGACCTGGGCCCCACAGTCCAGGGGTGAGGGGCAGATGGCCAGGTGTCCCACCTCTACTGTGAAGTGGGAGGAGCAGGAAGGGATTCCGCAGCAGCCGCAGGCATTCCAAGGCCCCCCATTCCAAGGCCCCCCGGAGGAGGCTGCGGGAAGGAGCTCACCTATTATCAGCTCTGTACTGATAAGTCTCTTGTGGACAATAATTTTTTTTTTTTAGATCACTGTATTGACCACTGAACAAAAAGCATCACCACCTCTCTGTGTCTCTGTCAAAATGAAGAAAAGACAAAGAGGGGGGTGTTGATTGCTGGGACGCAGTTAACAGGGCCAGGGTCTGGTGAACCAGGCAGCTGTCCAGGTCCTGCAGGGGACACAGCCTCTGTCCCTCCCCAACCAGGCCAGGCTGATGCCATCACATACAATTGGTCCCAGGCCTAGCAAGACCAAGGCGCTGGCTCAGACTCTGGCACAGGGGTCAGATGGGACTCACAGAGGTGCTCCCAGCCAGCTCCGTTCTCCCCACCCCAAGCCCCAGCAGTTTCTGCCCTTGTGCGAGGCCACACGATAAGGAGGAGATAGACTTGGTGTGGCTGCCGGCTTTGAAAGGAGGCACAGGACCCTCCAGCCCCAGCCTTATCCTCTCCACCCCACGTGCCCGGAGGGTCCATGACTTACTTCCCTTCGGAAGTGAAAACACAGGTGCCCAGCCTGTGAGCTTGTCTGACTGCTGGCTGTGTGACCTTGGGTGAGCCTTTACCTCTGGAGATGTCACTCCCAGATCTACACGTCTCTCCACCCTGGCTCCTAGTCTCCGCTCCTCACCTTCTCAAGAAGCCTTCCCCCACCACGGTTAGAAGCAGCACCCCTCGCACCCCCACGACGACCTGTTGTAGTCCAACCTGACTTGCTTTATTACTGGTCTCCTCTTTGGAACAAAAGTTCCACGAGAGCAGGGATTTCTGCCTGTTTTGTTCACAGCCTATTGTCCATTGTCCAGAACAATAAATATTTATTGAATGAATACTGCAAAACATGCCACAGTAACCCTGTGAAAATACCCAGGAGCCATGGAGTGGCAGCACAGGGCACACATGGGGGGCCAGGCGGCGGAGTCAGGGGCCGCCACTGCTGTGCTTCATTCATTCGACAAAGAACATCTTCCGGAGGCTTGGCAGGGAAGTGGGCAGGTGGGTACGAAGGCAAACTGGCAATCCTGCTCCCAAATAAAGTGGAGGGGGGCAGCAGCACCAGCAGACTGTGGCCACTGGGGAGTGGGAGGTCAGGGTGCCAGAGCTTCTGAGTTTTCCCTTGAAAAAGTCAGAAATCGGGATTTTATAAAAAGGGATCTCTCATTTAAGAAAACGTTATCAGGCCGGGCGCGGTGGCTCACGCCTATAATCCCAGCACTTTGGGAGGCCGAGGCGGGTGGATCACGAGGTCAAGAGATCGAGACCATCCTGGTCAACATGGTGAAACCCCGTCTCTACTAAAAATACAAAAAATTAGCTGGGCATGGTGGCGCGTGCCTGTAATCCCAGCTACTCAGGAGGCTGAGGCAGGAGAATTGCCTGACCCCAGGAGGCGGAGGTTGCGGTGAGCCGAGATCGCGCCATTGCACTCCAGCCTGGGTAACAAGAGTGAAACTCCGTCTCAAAAAATAAATAAATAAAAAAAATAAAAGAAAATGTTATCAACCAAGTAAAAAGTTGTTTATTTCATAGTCTAGAGTTCAAGAGAACCTGTCTGTGGTCTGTATTTGATCACAAGCTCCCTGGGTCAATGCTGACAGAACCCATGCAGAAATGCAGGGGGATCTACCTGCCTGGGCTTGATGGGGCACACAGCAGGCGACCAGCGCAGGAGGAACAGTGCTCCTTGGCCCAGGAGAAGCTCTGGGACCAGCACAGACCAGCGGGGCAACGCAGGAGAGCAGAAAGGCGAGTGCCCTGGGCTGGGGGCGTGGGGGGAGAGGCAGGGCAGACCCCTGCAGGAGGGACATCCAGCAACCTTGGAAAGGAGGTGCAGAGAGGAGGGGGCTGCAAAGGCTGGAGGCTCCCACAGCTGATGAGAACCTCTGTGGCATTCCACACTAGACATGGGGTGAGGCCCCGCCCCCACTCTCCTGGGTCCCCCGCCAGGCTCCTTGGTGGCTCTCATCGCCGTGGTAATTACATAATTGATGGTACGATGAGCTGTTTCACATGTGCCTCTCTCACTAGAACGTAGCGTGAGGACAGGGACTGCCTCTGTTGACCCTAAGCTCCAAGCCCAGAAACTGGCCCCAGCGTTGCCCCTTCAGTATTGCTTGGATAAATAAACAGACGAGATGGATCCGGGTGCTGGGCTCTTTTAACTCTCAACGTGACTTGCTTTATTAGTTACTGGGTGCACTTAGCCAACACAGACTGAAGGGATGATATCCAGAGACAGGTTTGAGGTTGAGGGGCCTGGAGGCCAGGATGCAAGCAACAGCCAATCAGGAAGGAGAGAAAGTGTGTGCTCGCTCCCCAGATCCCCTCGCGCCTGCACTGGTTCACTTGTGGAGCACATTTCTGCTCAGCTTACAGTCTGGATGTGGGCCAAGCTGGGTGCCAGGGACACACACGAAACAGTAACATGGCCCTCGCTCTCCAGAGGCAGAAAGGCACATGGACAACTGCCATGTGGTGTTGAGATGCAGTGACACCCGAGGCGCCGTGGGAGTGGGAAGAGGAGGTATCAGAGGAGGCTGGAAGAAGAGGGGCTTAACTATGTGAGGCAGGGTGAAAGTACCCCATGTAAGCAGCAGCCTGGGTGGGGCTGGGGAGCTGCAAAGAGCAAGTGGGGTCCCCTGCAGTCACCTCCCACCTCTGCCAAATTCTCTGGGCCTTCCCGGAGCTCAAGCGGCCAGGCTGCTGCAGCCAGTGCTCAACGTCCTCTGTCCTCATGGCACCAATCCCTGGCAATCCTGCAAAGTCACCCCATCCATTAGCTGCCTGCATCATGGCTCCCCGCCGCTCCACCCTTCTGTGTGCCTTGAGGCCCATGGGTCTGCCACCCAAACCGGATAGGAGTCTCCTGCTTGTTCCTACGCCTACACCCTCCTCCTGGCCTACAAGACCAGCTGCTAAGAGCAATGAGCCACGAGAAGACACTTTTTGCAGAACACATTCTAGGTCAAACCTCCCCCTCAATTTGCCGACCGATTAATGGAAGAAGCCCAGAGATGGCCAGTGACTTGTGCAGGACGCCCAGCAGGCTGAGATCCCTCCACAGCTCTGTGCCCTAGAGTGCCTGCCTGTCAAACAGAAGGGGGAACAAGGTCTCCCCCCTGGATACTCCAGCTTCCCCGAGGAGTCATGGAATGTGCCGCTGCCTTCCGCCTTCCCCAGCCTAGGCGGAACCGCCCCTCGCTTCCCTGCCTTCGACACCCCCTCGCTGCAGCCATCCTGACAGCCGGGGAGGCACAGCAGTCCAGCCCCTCCCAGCCCTGGTTCCACCTGGGGGAGCCGGGAATTGGCGCCCCCTCCCTCCCCCCAGTCCCCAGGGGAGGAAGCCGCCTGTCAGGCCGCCACGGCGTGTCAAATCCTCTTGCTGCCTAATTGTGAGACGGCGGCGTTTAAAGAAACGCTTTTCTGGCCGCCTGCCACACCGCAAACTGCTTGGTATAATTTTATTATTAAGGAGAGAGAAAAAGAGGGAGGGGGGTTGGAAGAGAGAGGGAGAGAAAAAAGGGGAGAGAGAGGAGGAAATTGCTTCGTCCAAGTCAGCTGGTGGAGTATTCTGCTCAACGTGAAAGCGGGGCCGGCTTTCCAGTTGGCAAGCTGACTTCGTTAATTGCGCATTCAGTCTCTACTTAGGGTAATTGAAACGAAGCGGGGCCGGCTCTGACAATTAGGGTCTGCGACTAGGCCATTAACCCTTTCCGCCCCCGCCCCCCGCCGACGCCTCCGCACCGCTTCGAGGTGGAGGGGGGTCACCGGGCGTCCCCGCCAGGGCCCCATCCGGGGCGGGGGCGATGAGCCCCACGCGAGGTGCGGAGTGCGGCAGTGGGTGCCGGGCGCGCGCCCCAGCGCGCGCAGGGTTAACGCGGCGCCGGGAGTCCTGCAGCCCGGCTGGGGCCGAGGGGGACGGGGAGCCGCACAGGGTGTGTGGGGGTTGTTGCGGCCTCGCCGCCCCTCTGCAACAGATGTTTCAGCCGTGTAAGACAAAGGCAGAGCGCCTGCTGCTGCCGGAGAAAATCCGCAGGACTCCCTCAGGGGCAGGTAAAATTTCACCTTCTATTTGTGTTCCCCCGCCCGCCCCCGCCTTGTTTCCCGGCCTCTGCGCCAATCCGGAAAGCGCCACCAAAGACGCCGCGCCGCCGCCTCCGCAGCCCAGCCCGCTGACCCCAGCAAGGTCACGGCGACCGCGGGCTCCGCCGGCAGCGCGCCCGCCAGTTCTCCGCCGGCGAAGGGCGCCCCCCCGCGCCCAGTCCCCTCCTGGGGCGGGCCCCGTTCCCCGTCCCCGGTCCCCGGTCCCCGGTTGCAGCAGGCGCCAGGAGAGAGGAAGGGGGCGCTGCACTCGCCGTGAGGCGGAGGCGACCTGGACGCTCCCCGCCTCCCTCCCGCCAGCGCGGGGACCCCGGGGGGCTGCGGGCCCCCCCCAACCCCCATCATTCATCTCCCTGATTCTCTCCGTAGCTGCCCTCGGAAGTCAGCCGAGTGAAGCAGCTGTTCCTTGCACACTCCACTTGACCAAAGATGATGATAAATGAGGCCGGGGACGCGGCGGCGGCGGCGGCAGCGGCGGCGAGGGGCGCGCAGGGCGGGGCTACGGCCCGCAGCCCCCTCCCCGCGCCTCGGGAAGGGCGAGGACGCGAAGGACAAGAGGCCGACAGCAAAATCTAAGGCCCGCGCTGGTCTCCTGGTGCCCTGAGCGGCTCCGACGCTCGGCGGTGTGGAGGAACCTGGCGGAGCGATGCGCCCGGCGCGCCGGGCCAGGCCAAGACCTCTTCCACCAGGCCGCGCCGCAGCCCCGCCCCCGCCCATCCCCCTTCCTCCCCACTCCTTCCCCTTCTCTCCCCCACCCTCTCCACCCCTTCCCCTAATGCTCGGGTCCCCACTGCGTCCTCGCCGCCCCCCCCCCCCGCCCCCGCGGCTCAAACCTATTAACG